AGTGCCCTCCCGTCCTCCCAGTGCCCCCCGTCCTCCCAGTGCCCCCCATGCCCCCGCACCCCCAGCTGTCCCCTCCTTGACGGTGTCCTCTCGCGGCAGGCGCCGGTGGCGCAGGCGGTGCGGGCGCTGGTGCTGGTGCCCTCCAAGGAGCTGGGGCAGCAGGTGGAGGCGACGCTGCGGCGGCTGGCGGCGTTCTGCGCGCGGGCCGTGCGCGTGGCGCACGTGGGCGCCGCGGGCGACGTGGGCGCGCAGAGGTGAGCGCCCGCACCGTACCGGGCACCGCGCACCGCGCTCGGGCAGCGCTCAGCGGCCACCCCGTCCCCGCAGGCCGCTGCTCATGGAGAAGCCCGACGTGGTGGTGGGCACCCCGGCGCGGGTGCTGGCGCACGTGGCCGCCCGCAGCCTGGCGCTGCGGCCCTCGCTCGAGCTGCTCGTGCTCGACGAGGCCGATCTGCTGCTCTCCTTCGGCTTCGGCGAGGACCTCAAGGCGCTGCTCTGGTGAGGGGCATGGCGGGCAGGGGGGCACCAGGGGCTGGGGGAGCTGCTTGGGTATGGGGCATTGCCAGGGGCTGGGGGTGCAGGGGGGTTTGGGGTGTTTGGGCATGGGGGCACTGCCAGGACTTTAGGGGGCACCAAGGGGCTGCGGGGTGTTTGGGTACGGAGTCACTACCGGGGCCTGGGGTACGGGGGGTTGTGGGGGTGCTTGGGCCTGGGGGCACTGCCAGGRGACACAGGGGGACACTGCCGGGGGGGTACACTTCTCAGGGGGGGTACACCAGGGTGCTGCTGTTGGATTGGGGGCACTGCCCACACAGGGAGCACAGAGGGGCCAGAGGGAGGTTCCGACGGGCTTGGGGGGCTCCCGCAGACCTGGCGGGGGGACAAGGGGGCAGAGGGGCTGAYACTGCCCCCCGCGCTGCCCCCCCAGCCACCTGCCCAAGATCTACCAGGCGCTGCTCATGTCGGCCACCTTCAGCCCCGACGTGGAGGCCCTCAAGGAGCTGGTGCTGCACAACCCGGTGAGCGGGCACGGGGGGCCGGGCGGCGCGGCGGGGCCGGGCGCCGCGCACCCGCCG